CAGGGTGATTCCGTCAGGCTGCTTTCCATCGGATCTAAAAAGTCCTGGTGGTTCAAATATAGCGGATATTTAGGCGGATTTCATTGCTCGCTGAATCAAGGAATTGCATTGGGTGTGCCGGAGGATTCGTCCTTTTGTCTATGGGGATTCTGCAGCCAGATCAGAAGTGAGAAAAAATTATTGTACAATTTAGACGGATTCCTATTGCGTGGGCTAGCTTATTGTTGGTCAAAAATTTTCAAAAATTTATGCAAGGATCCATTAAGTAAATAAGTGAAGAGAGAACGGTTTGTTGGGAGCATGCTAGATAATAGGGGTTCAACTCAGCATGCTACAACTGCCTGTCCCAATCATTTTGTCTATTTGATTCGGGCGACATTCAACACATGTCCTCATAACAGGATAGCATAATCTAAGGAAAAGTTATTTTGTAGGTGTGGGGCGTGATTGTAGGTTTCGAAAGTAGACTACTCGAAATAAAGGCAGTGAGAGTAAGATCGGTGGGTGATCTAATCCCTAAACCACCACTTTAGTTGGGTAATGAAGCTTGAGCCCATTCTGTTTCATTGAGATTTAGATTGAAAATATTTTCATCCTTTTCCATAAATGCTGAGAGGGGTAGGATATTTAAAAATAGGCGTTGAGCGTAAAGTATAAAGAAATCGTGGAATGTTAAAAATGTTTTAAGGAGGAAGAATGATTTATACGAGGGTGGCAAGTAGTGTTGTTAAACGGCTCGTTTTGAGCCGATTTTTAAAAACGGCACTTAATATTTTAGCCACAAATATATTGCTTAAGTCTCAAGATTTCGATAATATATGTCTAAACCTTTGTTCCTTCTATGAGCAAAATCTTCAGGCTTAGGTAATATTTTTTAAGGATGAAGTATTGAGTTAGCCGTTTTTAGAAATCGGCTCAAAATGAGCCGTTTAACAACACTAGTAGCAAGTCAAGGAGGTCGTCAAACTTAAGAAGGATACCAAGAGTAGAGTGAAGGAAGGCACTGATTGAGGTGAATCCGCCTACTGGGGAACCTAGATGTGTTAGCTCCTCCTTGGAGGTAATTTTGAAATTGTGGAGTGATCGGAGGAGTTTACATGCACAAATTCGGATTTTGTGGGGCTGAGAATGATACTAACAGCTCATCTATTTCCTTGATAATGTGTACGGCCTTATTGGTTTCCAATTGAAGGGCCACTAATGATTCTGTTGTCTATATACCAGACGTGGAGTGAAAGTGAGCATTTTGAATTAATGATTTGAATTATATTATTAATTGCAAAACAAAATAAAAGGGATCCTAGTGAATCACCTTGTTGCATGCCCTCAGCTGAGAGTATTTTTTGTGAGTAAATTTGTAACAAGAATAGAGAAATTTGGTATAGCATGGGAATGTTATGCTCGCTAATTGCAAGAATGAGTTACGGGAGAGGGCGTTGTACGCATTGGTAAAATCAATTTCAAGTATTTCATTTGTGGGATTTATATTAATTTTTAAATTAAATTTTTAATTAGATTAAATTTGGTTATAATTTGATATGAATATAATTTTAAAAAATTATTCTTTTTTAAGTTTTTTTCAAAATTAAATTGAAAGTAAGTAGAAAGTTATTATATGTAGTCGATTAAGAATTAAATGACAGATATAAATTTTAAGATGTATTTAAAAAAATTTTTTTATCGCGAATACATTCCAAGTGGAAAAGACATCCTAACATAATTTCAAATATATAAATCATACTCAAAATTAAATTGCGAATCTAAAAATACTTAGATGTATTTTTTTTTCATCGGTTCGAAAATTTTTTTTGTCGCTTATACATTCAGGGGGATAAGACTAACATCTTAGACATAATTACAAATATTATTATATCGTTGAACTCAGAATTAAAGCGCGAACCGAAAACGAAAAAGAATGCATATAAGTATTTTTAGATTTGCAATTCTATTCTAAGTTCAATGATATAATATTGAAATTATGTCTTAGATGTTTAGCCTTTTCCCTATGAATGTATTCGCAACAAAATATATTTTTCGAACAGAAAACGAAAAATAAAAAAAACTGGTGCTAGTCGAACCGATTTTTGTAAAATCAGCTATATCTCCTGTCTATTTTTAGATATTATAAAAAACAATATATGAATAGATACCAAAAACTATACTCTATAAACTTGCCTTATAAAAAATTTCAAGAATATAATCACATTTTTGAAATTTTATTTTTTGTAAAAATGGAAATTTTGTCCAACAAGGCCCAATAGCGGGGTTAGGCATCACTTCTAAAGGGCGTCCTTAAGCATTGGTTTTTAGACTATAATGAATTGAAATGCATTTTTGTTTATTGATAATGATACATATAGAATAATTTTATTGTTTTATTGGTCAAAATATCATAATACTTATAAATTGAAGCTAATTATATATAAAAATTGAAGCTTAATTTTTGTTTGGACATATTTATCGAAGTTTGAACATGTACCAAGTTCCCATCCTTGGGACATTCTGCATTGGTACCACTCTTCACTGTTATAAAATTTATATAATCCAGCTTACAACAAAGACAAATCTGTGAATATTTTTTTTTACTATTTTTTTCTTGCAAATATTTCACTTTCTATCTCTTGTAGTATCTCATAAAGTTTGATCTAGTAATGCCTAAAATAAACGTGCAAAATAAAATATTAGGATATATTAATTATAACTTAAATACTAATACAATAATATTATACCACAATTTTAATCCATCATATGTTAAAATATAAGAACATAAAATTTATAAATAACATATAAAAATAATATTTTAATCTCTTTACTATTACCATTTAGATTTTTATTTATTTAATCTATTATTAAATCTTGCTAGAATTTATTTTATTGTTTACAAATTACATGAAATTAATATAATAACACTATACTTCATCATAATTTTAATTCATCATATGTTAAAATATAAGAACATAAAATTTATAAATTACATTTAAAATTAATATATCAATAATATTTTAATCTCTTTACCATTACCATTTAGATTTATATTTAGATAATCTCTATTATTAAATATTGCAAAAATTTGATTATATTGTTTAAAAATACATAAAATTATTGTGATTATATCTTTAAAAAAGACAGATAATGTAGATAAATTTACCTGTTAGTTGGCTAGTGATCCTTGTTGATTTACAATCTTTATATACCTTAATAGCCTAATTACATTATAATATCAATTCATCAAATTTTGGTATACTTCTAGATAATCATTAATATACTTTTATGATATAATTGGATCTGTATTTTCGCACCATATCGAGTAATAATTATTAAAAGAAATGATTCAAATGGATTACGTGTATGATTTAGCAAGCCCCGCTAGCTCTAAATTTACTAATCATGATTGAAATAATATCTAGACATAATAAATACTCATAAATTTTTCTCAAATTATAAAAGAGTGTTAAAATTTTGCTATAAAATTTAATTTACATATAAATGATTATATAATTTAATAATTAAAATTCTATCATGTAAAAATCTTTTGAATTTTTCATCAATATATTCATATAAAATCATAACTAAATTTAATCTAAGAAATGATCTTAAAATTTGCATTTTTTTATGCAATGTTATTAATGATATTTTTCCATTAAAGAAAGCAATAAATCACGCTTTTTATATATATTTTTAAAACGTTTTGAATTTTTAAAATTTAAAAAAAATCATTAAAGATTTTTTCCCCGAAGTTTCGATTTTTTTCAAACTCTGGTATATTTAAAAAAAAATTTCTACTATTGAAAATAAAACTGCCTTTTCCGCCGGTAAAAATATTTATTAAAATATCAAATTTAATTACTAATAATATAAATATTTATATAGTATATAATCAATAATGAAAATACATTTATTATTTTATAAAGGCAATTAATTATATTAAATAATAATTTAAAGTAAAATAATAAATATTAAAATTGATTAGTCACTCAAAGCAAATCATCGATATTTTAACTTGCTGTATAGCTAGAAGGCTTAAAAATCGTAATTAAGGAAATTGCTCAATAATAATCTCAATAATTTGTATTCTGTTGGTGTAACAACGGTGTTGCCGGCCACATGCAAACTTCTTCTCAGGGTCCCCTTGCAAATTAAATGCGGGCTTCAGTTATTATATTCTGATAGATAATAAAAATATTTTTTATAGGGCTGTGCCTATATTTAGTATTTAATCGGCATCAGATCGGGCTTATTTTTTTTAAAAAACCGATCCGATATTTTATATTGTTTTTGGTTATTTTATAATTGTATATATAATCATATAATTTTTTATTTTATAAATAATTTCATAATAATAAATTAAAATGAAAGGGGCAAATATACAATTTATTTGTTGTAATGTTAAAAAAATAGCTTAAAATTTTACACTATCTTTTTGTTATATTATCTGCAAAAAGAAAAGGATTTTAAAACATCTAACGAGTCACATTCAGTTGTTGCTAAACGGCTCGATTTAGCTAATTTTAAAAACGATTAACTCAAAATTTTAGCCAAGAGTAAATTACCCATGCTTATTGATTTTGTACTTCTATTGGCTAAATTTCGAGGCATTGTAAAAAATAATATTTTAATTAAAATTTTAATTTGGCCCTTTTTAAAAATCGGCTAAATGGAGCTGTTTAACAACACTACATATACCCATAAACATTGCAAATATTTTAAATGAGAATATTAACTTATAAAAAATAAAAAAGATAAAATACACCTAATCATTCGTGAAAGTTGGTTTTTTTAAAGTAGAAAATATTGATATATTAATGACATTGATACAAAGACAAAATCATCATTGAGGATATTTCTAATAGTTTCCTATACCTTAGTTAAGATTTATAGTAATATCTTTAACAGTTTCTTCAATATCACTATAAGATATTTTGCTCTTAAAAAATTTAGAGAATTATACTTTATTGAATGACATTTGAACCATTGATGCTATATATCTCATTATTTGTTAGGTGCCTTCTTGATCCCCTATTGGCTCATGCTATTCTTATGCGGGATACCTCTGTTCTTTCTGGAAGTAGTCCTTGGTCAATTTACGGGTAGGGGTGCTATCGATGTCTGGGATATTTGCCCGTTATTCAAAGGTAACCATCTTACCATTTTTACTGCTGCTTCATTCAGGATTATTCCAGTTCAAATCAATTATTTTAAAACATCTCAGATTAATGATTTGAATGGCGAATTCAAAATTTTAACATAATTTAAAAAAATAATATAAATTGATATTTTATGGTGCATTTTATAATCTTAATAAACAAATATCCTGAATTATATTAATTCCTAGTTTAAAACTATGATTTTTGGCGAAAAATTAATTTTTTTGAATGTGATTTATTTAACTCTTTTTTCTATTCCGAAAATTTTAGTACAGACAAATTGAAATTTGGAATTACATAATTTTTTTTAACTATTTGAAATTGTTACAAATTACTAGGGATTAATTTATTTAGAATTTTTACAAGAATTATTTTTTTAGGGCTATAAAATGAGCCATCAGAATTATTCTGCTAACAGTGTTTGAAAAAATTTTTTGATCAGAAATCTCTTTTTATCAAATTTTACCTCAAAAATGTAAATCTTTTATTAGGGAAATTTTTAATAATTTTTATGCTTGACAAATCTTTCAAGATGAAATAAAAAATAAAACTTCAGGTTTTTATAAGTTATTGTAATATTTAGAAGATCAATTTTTTTTCCAAATATAACCATAGAGGGATTTTACTCCCTATATCTCCAGTTCTAATAAATTTAGGAAACTAAGGTTTTGGAATGACGTACAGATCACTTTAGGTATATCTATATGCTAAATTTTATTAAAATCTGAGAAGGTGGGGTTGTAAAGTGATTTATTTAATATGGAATGCCGCCCTCTTTTTTACCACCATTTTGATTTGCTTTACTAATTTAGGAATGAGGATAAATTAGTAGGATAGAAGCAGAACATGATTATATTTCAATAAAATTATATATTCTGTTCAGGATTCTTCACCTAATCATGCCATATGTTTCATCTAGCTACTCATCGGTTGATATGCGTATTATGAAAAAATTTCACTAAAATTAGTAGTATTAAATTTTAAGCAAAAATTTTATTGACCTGGCGAACCTAATTTTAAGATAATTTCCAGGTTCGAATTTACAGAAAATCAAATTTAAAAAAATTTGAAATGGAAAGAAAGTTAAAGGGGAAAAAGCTGAAATTTAACCGTAGTTAGATTATTTAGGCACTATATCTACGAAGGAGGGTAAATTCAGCCGCCTCTGAGGTCGGGGGGCTACCCCATCCGATGTAAATTCAAAATTTGGCATACTTAAAAAACGATAAAGTTTTTACCATATTTTATGAAGATAACAAATTTTGATTTCCTGAATATAAAATTTATTTTGATTCATATCCCAACCTTTATATATAATTTCCTTTTTTTGAGACTCTTTAAAATATGATTACTATTTGTAAATATCACTTCATAAACCATCAATTTTTTTACGAGTGACGCCTTTCCTTAATTCACTTGAATCGCCAATTTTAAACTTCCATATATCACACTCGATAAAGGTGTGGGTATAGGGACCGTATTATTGACAGCCATAGGTAGCACTTCCTACAATTTGCTAGTGGCCCTCATCCTTTTCTATTTGTTCGCCTCGTTTCGTTCCGACCTGCCTTGGGGCCATTGCGATCAAACCTGGAATACACCGGCTTGCGTCGTATTACGCGTGCTCAACGATACCAATGAAAACAACGGGACCACTAATGATTTAATTATTTATTCGCAATACAATTACAACATAACGACATCGCTCACCGACATCCAAACGTCCGCTTTCGAATTTTGGAGGTAAGTGATATAAGAAATAAAATATCTATTTAAGGTAAGAGTAATTCTATATTTGAACAGCCATCCATTATTTTAAAAAAGTGTCCTAAAATAAAATAGCTTATGGCCTTGTCACATATAAATATAATATAACTAATAACCACATATTATATACTAGAGAACCATTTTAAACATACTTTTTTATTTATATATAACACATAACACAGCTTAGAGGCTATTTTTTTATAAAATATCTTCTTTCGCTTTCAAATAAAAGTTTTTTTTAAAAAAAAGAAATTGCATATTTAAATATTTGATAATAAATACATTTGTTTGTAACTATGTACATATGGTTATTTTTTAAGGTCAATTTAAAGATTAGTAAAAATAATATTTCCTGTTAACAAATTAAACATATAAATAATACCAAAAAGTTTATTTTATGTTTTTTTAAAACTCCTATAAAACGCTGGGTGATTTTTTTTAATGATGGTCATCCGTCAAATGTTATTACAAAAATTGTTAGTTATTTATTTCGTACTGAGGAGGCGTAATATCCTTCTATAGACTAAATTTAAAGTATTTAGACAGAAATTGTTTTAAATTTGAGAACAAAAAATTTGTTGAATTCAAAAATATTTGTTTTTTGATCTGTCAATCCCTTAATATAAATTTATGCAGTATTCCATTCGTTTGGATGAGTATTTATAAAATATTTGTTTTCAAATTCCGATGTTTGCTGATTATGGATTATATATATTAATTACTTATCGTTAAAATGCTAGTCAAACTAAGATGATTAATCTTTGTCGTTTCCGTTAGTAGGTCAAATCGAATATTAGATATTTGATTTCAAAATTTCCAACCGAACAGTTTAGTATTCATAGTACAGATGGAATAATGTAATGTTTATATTCGCAATTCGATTTCTTTCTGATTTATAAGAAAAAGTTATGAAAAAATCCAAACATATTTTAAAAATAACTATTTGAAATATATTTATAAAAATAGCCATTCTTTTAGGCATAAAATTTTCCTGATTATTTAAATTATCTTGCAATTTATAAAATAATTATATTGATTTGGTTATAGGCAATTTTAAATAGGAAGCCGCTATCTCAATGAAAAAAAGATCAATACTTGCAACTTGCAAGTGTCAAAAAATAAAAAGAATATTTAATCACATAATTTAAAAAAAATTAATTATGAATATTTGTATTCTATTCGAAATTTAAAAATATTGGATTCAGAAATTTCGAATCGAATAAATTTTTGATAGGCCTAGCTCAGACTAATGATATAGGATACTACTCTGCTAATTCATTCAACATGATCCAGAGTTGTACAAAAGATCTTCTTTGAAGATTTTTGAGCGAGATCTAGCTCAAAAATTTGAGCAAGATCTTTGAAGATCGTAAAATTTGAAGATCTTTTATTTTTTAAAAATTTTGTGGATCTTTGAAGAACGCTGCGATCAACGATCTTCATGATATTTATTTTTTTACCCCTTTATTAAAAGCCCAGATGTTTTTCAATTTTCATCAAGGCAGGAGGAGAGGTATAAAACATAAAAGAAATTTTTTTTTTTTTCTCTTTAGCTTTCATTTTTTATGTTATTCATACAATCTCTTTTATCTATTTTATACTTCTTTATATTGGCTCTAACTTTATGGCCCCATTGAAGTTTTGGCCTTCCTCTTTTACGTTTGCCCATCACTTCCAAACTTTCAACTTTATTTCCTATGTAGTTCACAGGCCTTCTCATTGTGTGCCCATACCACCTAAGTCTGTTTACCATTTTGTCATCTGCATTTTTGGATTTGGCTTTTTTTTCCTGTATAGGGGTTTGTACCTCTTGATTCCACCACCATAGTTCTTTGTGTGATTTGTTGCCTCCCCTTGTCAAGCCTAGCGTCGATTTTGCAGTGTCTATTAATCTGGATGAAAGGTCTGTCCAGATTTTTTCACTGACTTGTTTGCATTGATTGCAAAGGCATCTGTCATTGTTTTTTGCAGTCTATTACATCTTTTAATCTTCTGCGAGAGATAAGCATGTAATCTATCTGGGTTTTCCTAGAGTACGTGCTCTCCTTCATCATTTCTTTCTCCGTATCCAAAACCACCATGATGCCTTTTGTAGCTATCTCTTGCTTTCCCCACATGCGCATTTAAGTCACCACCAATTATGACTAGGTCATCCTTAGGGATTTCCATTACAGCTTCATCAAGGATAGCTCTAAAGTCATCTTTCTCTTCTTCCTTGCAACCCGTTTGAGGAGCATATACTGATAGGATGTGTAGTATTGATTGACCAATGCAGAGTTTTATCTTCATTAGTCTATCAGAGATCTTGTTGACTTCTACTACTGAAGAGGTTAGGTCTTGGCTGAGGATGATGCCGACACCGTTCCTATTGCTAACAAGTCCATTATAGTACAATTTATACCTATCTCCAATCATCAAAGTTTTCTGTCCTTTCCATTTCGTCTCTTGTATACACGCTATATCAACTTTTCTCTTGTTCAACATTGATGCCAATTCTCTCGTCTTACCTTTAAGCGTTCCAATATTCAAACTTGCCAGTCTTGTCTTCTTTGCTTTGACCTTTACTTTATTTTTCACAGGATGGAGGTCTACACCCTGCGCGTCGCATGGAGGGAACGCCCTAGCTTTCATATTCATATTTTCATTTGTGTCCTTCATTTGTTTATTGGACAGGTATCCTTAGCACCCAGCCGTCCAGGCCTGTCGGTGACAAGGGTGTCATCTCTAAGCTCCGAAATTCATCAAACCATATGTCTTATCACATCAGTCATCGAAGAAAAACTTGAAAGTTTTTATGGTTCTTACCAGGATTGAACCCGCGTCCTTGTTCATACTCGTGTTTCCAAGCCTACATCTTACCCATTAGGCCACCCCGGCGATACAAAACATCAAAGAAATATTATATTAATAAAATTGAAAAACATCTGGGCTTTTAATAAAGGGGTAAAAAAATAAATATCATAGAGATCTTTGAAGATAGTTACACAAAATTTTTAAAAAATAAAAGATCTTCAAATTGATCTTTGAAGATCTTTTTATTTTGAGCAAATGTACAACTCTGCCATGATCTATGGTGACACGCCATTTTGTTTTCTAATAAGAAGCATTTTAAAATGAATGAATAGTCATTGTGGGTGAATATTGTATATATGCCAATGGTCTCGGAAAAATAAATGTATTCTTTCGAATTTGTATGACTAGAGAACGAGATAAAAACAGTATAAACAAATCCATTTTTAGAAATATATTTAGTAAACTAGAAAATATTTTTTTAGAATCAAGTTTCTTTTCTCTCATAAAATAAAAATAATTGGAGCATATTAAATGTAGTCTATTAAATTTTTAATTTATAATGATTTAATCGTCTGCTTGTTAATTTATTATTATAAACCATTATAGCGCTCGTGTAGAGCCAGCTTACAAATTCAATTTTTTTTCCAACATGGGCCCAAAAATATTGTTTATTTTACAATGTGTTATGTTTGATAATATAGCCACAGAGTTCTACAAATATCAGATGGTTTGCACAACATGGGTGATATAAACGTGAAATTAATGGGTTGTTTTTTCCTAGCGTGGATTCTGACGTTCCTGTGCCTAGTCAAGGGCATCAAAACTACGGGAAAGGTTTCTTAAAAATATAATTTTTTTTCTTTCATAGTCATGTTTTTAATGACCTAATCATTAAATTCTATCAAAATATATATCGTTATTTTTAGTCTTAACTACGACTCAAGTCGCGACTCGAGTTATTAACTTGAGTCGTGAACTCAACAGGTTAACTTAAATTTTATGAAACTCGATTACTTATATTATTAGTGTTGAATTGGTTGGTTGTTTAATATCCATACCTGGCGCTTGGCTCTAAAAATCGACTAAATCAGCTATGAACATAAACCCTAAGCATAACAGGTGAACTTAGTAAAGTATATAATGATAATTAAAAGTATCAATCGATAGATAATTAAAAGACCTATTGAATAGGCAACAAGCCAAGCGTTACTTCTCGATGGGTGAAGCTATTATTAGGGGGAGGTTAAAAATATTTGATATAGTTACTCATATAACTGATCATGAAAGACCTTGCTTAATTATATCATCCCGCAAGATATGCCTAGCATTAATTAATATTTATTTATTTTTAGTAAAATAATTTATTTTATTTATATTTAAATATTTTGTTATAATTTAATATTTTTTGTTTATATTATATTATGAAATTAAATATGCTTATATTATATAATGAAAATGGATTTATTTATTTCATGTTTTTTAATAAAAAAATGATATGCTGCTATTGTTTGTAATATTATTTTTGTCAATTTATTAGTGATTTTCAGGCCGAAAATTTTAAGCAAAAAATATTTTTTGAACATATTTTGATTTGATAAGAATTTTAAATCTTTTTTGTAAATAAATCTTTTTTGAGGAAATCTTTTGTGAACTTTATTATAAATAAACAATCTTTTGGATGAAATCTTATATATTTTTTTTAAGCATATTAAGAGAGGCGGTTTTATCTAAATTAATCAGGGCCGTAGCCAGGAATTTTCAGTTAGGGGGGGGGGGGCAGCTGCTTACTTAGGAGGGCCACTATTTTTTTTAAATAAAACAAATAATTAAGCATTCATAAATTTTTTGCTATTTTATACAAAAATTATTAATGTTATATGAATACAAAATAAGACTATAATATGAACATACATAATAATACTATAATATAATTCGACGATTTTTATTTTTAAATTTTAACATAAATGAATTAAAGGATAAATTTTGTGTTAATTTTTTTTATAAGCCATCTTTACTAAATTTTGCTTACTTTGATCTTTCATCGACCCTTTAGTGCTCGATAGAACTCTCTTTATTATAGAGAATGAAGCCACACAAGAAGCCGTTGGTACCCCAATGATGATGGCTACTTAGTAGCATTTATACAATTCTCTAAATGCATTATGATATTTTTTTATACATAATACCTAGGATATTTTCAAAATTATGTTTTTCTTTAACTTCTGCAGCTAATAATCATTTAGCTATTTCATTTTTATGATGTAAAGTTTCCATATTTAAGTTTAATAATTATTCTAATCGGGCCATTGTCCGATATAAAATAATCACTATAAAAGGGGGGAAATGCATTAAAACTTGATAGAAGATTATAATCATCTTGTGTAAATCTATCTAAAAAATTACCATAATAGTAATCAATAATTTTTTAATAATTCCATTTTAAAGAACTCTAATTGGATTCTTTTTCGCAATCAAATTGTAATTTGGTTTCGACTAAAAAATCTTGAAAATTTATAGGCGTTTTACTTACGCTTGATGATTTGTGGGAAGTGAGAATAAATTTTGCTAAAAGTTTTTCCGCCTTTATTCTAATCAAATCAATAGAATTATTGCTTCTTATATTTTTTAAATATATTGATCGTGGAATCAATACAATTTTTAGCATCCACTTGATAAGTACCTACTGACTGTAGATACTTATATAGTGGATCTATTTTTATTAATATCTCATAAATTATAATGGCTAATTTAGCATAATTTATATTAACGTATTGAGATAAAAGACCAGAGGTTTCGATAGAATCATGAGTGGAAACTCTGAATTAAGAATTCCTTTAGAAAAGTATACTAAAACTTCACCAATAGCCTCAAAATTAACATAAATGATGCGAGATGTTTCTAAATGACCAGTCCATTTCTGGTCTAAAAGTCTCTTAAGAGTATGGCCTGCATATTTACAGGATACGTTAAACCGCCTAAAAAATTATGCAATGCATTGAATAAATTAAAATAATTAGAAATGATAATAATATTATTATACCAATTTTGAGCCTCCAGCCTCTGGTCTAAAAGTCTCTTAAGAGTATGGCCTGCATATTTACAGGATACGTTAAACCTCCCAAAAAATTATGCAATGCATTGAATAAATTATAAAGATTAGAAATGATAACAATATTATTAAATTTTGAGCCACAAGATGCAACATGTAGTTGTAGCAATGTATGAAAGGAACTTTTTTATTAATTTTTTTTTGAAATAGGGTTTGCACTCTACCATTTCGGTCAAACATAACGTTTGCACCATCATATGCTTGGTTTATCATATTCGTTGAATTAATATTTAACTCATTAAGTTGCTTTAAAATGCAATTAGTAATGCTTCAGAAAGACACTGTAAATTAATAATCTCTATTAAATTTTCTAGGACTTCTCCAAAAAAATATAAATAATTATGCTCAGGTTTTCACAACATGATGCATCTTTTGTCACATCAGCTAAGACACGATATAATTATTTTTTAAAGGAGTGAAAAGAACCTTTATAAAAAAACGTTAAACCGGTAAAGCAAAATAAAATTTATGATTCTAATTTTTTACATTATTTTCCTTGTGGTGTAATTATATATTTAACCATATTTCCGTCGTTATTTATAATTTTAATTATTAAATGATCAAAATATGTGTGATCTGATATCCATATATCCTTAATAAAGTATGTATTAATTTTTTAACTATTACTTAAATTTATCCACAATCTTTTAATTATGCAAAATATCTAAATAAACAATTTTTAGATTTTTGATTTAGTTGTATTTATTAAATTAATTTAAGTATAATATCAGGCCTTTATTATAAATATTATAATTTGTGTTACATTATAAATTCTATTTAGTTTATCAAATAATTTTAGTATATTATATTTGTCTAACCTCATTTTTTTGTATTTATTTCTTATAGTATTAGAACCATATTCCTATTTTTTATGTTTTAGTATGCAAAATAGCCAATTTTTGATTTAGTTGCATTTTTAATTAAGTATAATATCACCACCCACCCTTGAATATGATAGTAGGCTATTATTTAAATTTTAAAATTACCAAATTTATGAGGTTTTAAATTTTTTATAAAATTTTGGCATTTGAGTATATTTTAAAGCATTAGTAAATATATATGACCTTTATTATAAATAATAGTTTGTTACATTATAAATTCTAATTAGTTAAATAATTTTAATATATTTGTTATTTCTGACCTCATTTTTTTGTATTTATTTCTTATAGTATTAGAACCATATTCCTATTTTTTATGTTTTAGTATGCAAAATATCAAAATAGCCAATTTGATTTAGTTGCATTTATTTAATTAATTATAATATCACCACCCACCCTTGAATATGATAGTAGGCTATTATTTAAATTTCAAAATTACCAAATTTATGAAGTTTTAATTTTATATATTATTTATAAAATTTTGGCATTTGAGTATATTTGAAAGCATTAGTTTTCTTAGTAATAATATCCATATAATTTGGCTTTAAAACTTGGCAGTATTATCAGTTTCAATTTTACAATATTTGTTTGCACAAATCTCATTTTTTTTTATTTACATTAATAATTAATAAAAATTTACTTTAATTGCTTTTAGAAATATGGTCCGTCTCAGAGTTAACCCAGTCCGTTCATTTTTTAGTTATAATATTCTCTTAAGTGAATCAACCTGTATAATAGATAATTGCATAATGATAATTAAAGGTGTCCATGCAGCTAATTTAGAAAGTCATATTCAAAGGTATCATTCTAAAGAATATGAATCCCTAACTACAAAAATTTAAAGCTTTCCAAGCCTTTGAAATCAATATCAAAGTCTAGCCATAATATTTCTATTGAGCAGGCATTAAATTCTCTTATCAAAATTAAAATGGATAAAAACAATTAGTAAATTCGTGCATAGAACTTATTACTGTACATGGCCGGCCATTTAGCTTATTAGATGATTTAGCTTTTAAAAAAATTATCAACCCAATTATAACAGGACTTGGGGATAATTTTTCTATAAATTCAGAAAATATGAGGAATAATATTAATACAATGGCCAGCAAATGCCTTGCTAATATAAAAAAAGAAATATTCAATAAAATGATTTCTGTTAAATTAGATATTGCAACAAGGTCTGACAGAGCTATTCTAGGCGTCAATATTCAATTTATATCTGATAAAAAAATACAATTACGATCAATATGCATGAGAGAACTTACTGAAAAGCATACCTCGGAAAATATCAAAAAAGTTATTTTAGAAATATTTAAAACACACAACATAGATATTAACAAGATATATAGCATAACTACTGATAATGCATCCAATATGATTAAGTTAATCACATTTAATGTAGCATGAAAATATTGACGACAAAGATATGATGTTATCACATGAGAATAATTTATCAAATATTAGTAATATCGACGACATTGATGAAACTGATAATATTATATTTAGGATGACTGGAGCCTTGTTAGTTGGAGTTCGATGCGCCTCCCACACATTTCATTTGGCGATAAATGATTGCATCAAATCGTCACCTAATGAATTATTGATTTAAAGCCAGATCATTGTGCAAAAAAATTCGCAGACATACTTCATTAAATATCTAACCCGTCTAAATCTTAAAAAGCCCCTTATAGATTGCTGTACCAGGTGGAATTCTAAAGATTGTTAGAATTTAGAATTAAGTTTATTGTGATGAAATGGAAATGGATCAAGGCATTGATCTTTGTGAAGATGAATGGGATATAATTAAAGATATTTTGAAAGCTATGAAGCCTTCTTATATATTGACAAAAATTCTTCAAACTGAACAATTAAAATTGGGCGATTTTTATGCTGCTTGGCTAAATTGTCTAATAGAAACACAAAAGGTACAAACACCTTTTTCTCAGCACCTTTCAACATGTATCAAGGAAAGAGGCGAATATTAGAAATGATGCCTTTTGTGCAGCCTTATATTTGGACCCACGTTATCAGATATTGCTGACAGAAGATGAAAAATTGACTGCCAAAGATCATTTAAATAAAACATGGAAAGCAATTCAGGTCCACATATTTTATTTAGCCTTATTTTGATTATTGTCCGGATTTATTTTAATAGTTATTTTTCATTTAAAATATATAGGCCTTGGAAAATGATGATAGCCTAGAAATGCATATATTGCAATCTACCTCTAGCTCTAAAGATCATAAAACAGATGATGAATTAGAAAAGCTTCTGATAGCCCATGAGTCGGATTTTAAAAAAGCTACTTCAAATGCACACAAAGAAATATTAGAAATATTATTGAATCGTTTGAAGGTGTTGAAAGGATCGACAAAAAAGTTTTTATCA